GAGAAAAAGATTCATAGGAAGGAGACGTAACTCATGTAATAACGATTTATTTAGAGCCGCTGTCTCAAAATTAAAAATCGCTGTGATGATTGCCAACTTTCGAAGCGCAGACAGCCCCTTGAGAAGAAGATACAAAATTCAATAAATGAATCATTTTGTCGTCAATTTCAAATTTTTCCATATTTATAAATTGAATAAACAATATTGTTTACTTTTTATTTTTATTAATATACGGGATTACCCCCTGTGGCTAAAGTACGATCCTGGCATCTGTCAGATTCTTCAATAATTATATGAAATAATTCTCGACACACCTAATTTATTTTATTACGTCATAATTAATGATGCACTGAAAAGGACCTCTGGGATGTACTTTATAAAGATAATGTACAGTCACCAACGACTGAAACAGAATAAAACGCAGACAAACAGGAGTAATCCTAGTCGCACGAAGGACAAGAAGAAGAATAAGATTTTTCAGAAAGGGGTAAATCAGGCCATACGCACTTTTCGTACATACACATCGACAGAAAAGTTGTTCAAAATTAAATTTCCTATTGAAATGCTCTCTTTTAAAGTCAAAAATAATTTTTTTTGGCAAAAATATATTCAAAAAACGAAGCAAAAAAACAGAAAAACACGCGATTTTTCTTTTTTTCCCCTGATTTTTTTCCACAGGGGTATGGTATAGGAATCGCTATTCAAAAAAAAAAAATTTATTAATTAATTAATAATTAAAAATTAATAAAATAATTGTTTAGTAAACCTCGTACGTTTTTACCAACATTTAACTCAACTTAGATAATATTTATATTTAGATATAAGCTGTACAAATATTACCACTTGCGAAAATTAATAAAAAATACATTATTATCAAAGTTCTCCTATATAATATTAACCCGCTAGAATGTGTGTTCAGATATTTAGAATTTTATTGTTGACAAATATGTTATCAATACGCATAACGCTAAAGAGGGATTATTAATATGCAAAATGATAAATTTCTGTCATAAATAAACAAACTACAAATATTCAACAACTTTGAAAAGCCGATTATATTAAAATAATATAATTTCTTTTTCTTATATTACGCCATAGGCCAGTTTTTCCGATATTAAAGCTGCAGTAGTATTTGTGACGTTGACTGACACCTGTCTTGCCATCTTTTAACAGGTCTTTGGTGAGAATATTTGATCAGTCACTGATCTGTTACTTCTAAATCCCATTTGAAAATTATATCTCTTTCTTAACATGATTGTTTAGTCTTTTCTTTAGGCATTCCGTATTTTTCTTATTCCTTATGCATTCATAGTATGTATTTTTTAACTAACTTCTAACAATGCTAGGTATGTCGGCTCGGGTATATTGTTTTGTCGCTTCTTGAAACACTTCTTTAAATTCTAATTGTATCAAAAAGTGATATGTTTTAATATCAGTCCTCTTTTACTTTTGATTTTTTTTTATATTATTTAGATGACTTGTCTCTATAATGATCAATCTGATTAATTGTTTTTCCATTGGGGGAGCCCCCGATAGTGACAGCAAGACCTTAACGTGGGTTCGATGGTTTAAGCTGACTGTCAGATAGGGCTGTATTCTGGTGTAGGAAAAGGAAAAGTATGTGTATATAAATGAATGGGATCTCTATAATAAGGAGCTCTCCGTTAAATGAAGGTACCCCCAGTAAACAAGCTAGGCCTGGTTAACGAGAAGTATGAACAGATGAATGATCTCGCTAGACCAGTTCCTGACACCACTTAGCACTCTAGAGCAGGGGTTACCAAATGGCGGACCGCGATTTTTATCCAAACCGTGAGCTTGATTTAAATTCAAAATCTTCACAGTAAAATGCAAACCGTCATAAAGATAGTGAACTTAATACATGCAAAATCATCTTTGAGGCATATTCAATTCAAATCATTCCTAGAAGACAGTAATGTTCAGTTTGACGATTTGCTTCTATGCAATACTTGAAAACATAAAAGAGTTTCTGTCCACTATTGATAATGAAGCTACAAATGACCATTTGGGCTTCCTCTTGGATACAGAAAACGTTGTAACTATCGCATTTTTGGCGGATATTTTCAGACATCTGAACTGATCTGAAAAACAAATCGAAAATTTGCATTTTCCTCTCCTTAAATCCGTTTGTGATAGTAATAAAGATATTGATGTTATCCAGTTCTCACGTTTGATTAATGAACTTCATTTGAAATTAAAAAACGGAAGATTCCGTTAACATGTACAGAACTGCAGTAAAAAATGCTATTTAAGGTAAGCTGTTACTAACATTTAATGTTTAAATAGATTTAGATATGTTCCATAAAATTGTCGAACACTATAGTTGCAGAAAGAAAATAACAAGAAACAGTAGCATTAAATAATTAAATTAAGTTCTAAGATACAAATATTTCAAATTACGCCGTAAAAATTTGTTAAACAAAGACGGGAGAAAAAACAATAAAATAGCTTTATAATCATTTGTTTCATTGAGTTTACTTCATATTTCCCCCAAAAGAGCTGGCCTAGTTACCTGGTTTCAACTAACTAAACAAGAATGATTTTCTGAGAAGGATTTACAACTACTGGAGGGTTTCTTGGTGCTAACCACCCGTGGTTTCGCCACTGCCTGGTTTAGTGCTGAGTGTCTGGACCGCGGAAGTGTAGTAGGTTTTGAAACGGACCCTCAGGGAATATAATTGGTGACCTATGCTCTAGAATATCTGGGAATCTCTATTCCTACTTTTCCTTCTAACTACTTCAGTGACTAAAAAGCAGCCTACCCAAGTTAACCTACTCCTATCAATTGTTGTACACTACCCCTGGCGGAAATTGAATTAGAAGGCCCTTTGATCTTCACAGCCACACCTACAGCCTAATTTACTACCCATATCGCCAACATATAGTTGATATATTTAGACACGATAATATCTATTATAAGTATCTGTCCTACATTCCAAGTACAACCAAGAAAAGGTTATCCATTCTTCATCATTCTTCCACTATACCTACATCCTCAGGAGACAACCTGCACTTAACTAAAAACCAATGAGGAAAACTAGCAAAAAATACCTGTAATCCAAAGTGTGAGACACTGTGCTGAATGATGCATGACCTCACGATAAGTGGTCTCGAATGTTTCCCTGCGGATACCAGCAAGCTTTACTTGCTCAAGAGGGATTCTGAGCAAATAATAATTTATTCCCAGCTACTTGTGGGAACAATATAGAACAATAGTAAAAATAAAAGAAAAGCTGGATGTTCAGGGGGCAGTAAAAATTCTTCTGAAAGAGACATTCCCAAAGTAGGAGAACATATTGTGGAATATCATCAAGATAAACTCGAAGGCAAAAGGAGGAGATTAAGTAGGGTGGCTCGGAAGCAGTTATATAGGTGCCTGAAATCACGAATACTCTATGAGAAAGCTCTAGAAGAGGTACTACAAACAAGAAAACATTTAAAAAAGAAAGAGAAAGAAAGGGAATAAACCCTCTTCTAACACAACTCCTGGGAAAAGAATCAGGTCAGATGCAAGCATCCTGAGGGTACGCAAATGAAAAGATCCCAACCTGAGGAGATGAATTACAAAGCTGCCACTAGTGGAATCAAGGTTGAGAACCGCTCCTTAACTAGATTACTCTTGTTGATTAATATTTATTATAAACCACACTACTATACTATTAAGTAACATATTTAGAAGAAATTATTCTACACAATAATATTTTAACAAATATTATTTTGGATAATTATAAAAAAAAAATAAATAAAAATGTACTCTAACACTAAAAAAATTGTTTTATAAAATAATATAAAATAAACTTATTTTTATAAGATGCAAATAAAAATAAAACTTTCATAAAAGTTTTAACACTATAGAATAATTTTATGAATATTTCATATTAAGAAAAATATTACTGATAATTATGTAAAAGTAAAATGTTAAAAAAAAATCATTTGGATATTAATGGGTTAAAGGGTGATGCAGATATGGTGAAAACCATCAAAATAAACTGCCTAAGATGGGTGAGCAACATTATGTGGATGGATGGAAGTGATCCTTCTAAAATAGCCATGCTAAATAGGGTGGTCTGAAGAATGCAAAGGGGAAGACCTAAATTCAGGTGTCTGGATAATGTGCAGGGAAAATAGAGAAGGATGTGGAGAAGACAGACACTCGACAGGGAAGGCTGGAATATTGTTTTGAGGCAGGCCAGGGCTCATAAAGGGCTGTAGTGCTAACAGATGATAATAGGTTAAAGGGAACACTGGCGCTAATGTTTCTGTTTAAATATTTAGTTTGTGTTGGTTTTACACATAAGTCATAAAAAATGATAATGGAATCCCAACACACAGATTTTTACACTAATACCTAAAACAAAGGTGATCTAAAGAAACCAATACCATCCTTCGAGATGACAAGAAAGCAAAGATACAGTGCTCCACATAAGTAAAGGAGCCTGCACAATTTATAAAGAATTTAGTATTGATAACATTTGTGTTAGTTACAAAACAAGGCATGTAATGGGCACTAGAATTTTAATCAAGAAAATTTACATAAGGTGTTTTTTCTGTTTCTGTACTTACAATTGACAAATTAGATTTGGGTTTCCATATTTTAAAATGTTGTGGGCTATAAACATTCAGTATACTTTTTCAAAATAAACAAATATGTATGATGTATTTACATTTGAAACACACATTTTTAAAATCGAACCAAAGGACTTGCTCTACAGTTAAGCACATTTTTCCTAAATGGTTGTATTTCCAACTTCCCCTCTCTAGGGGTGAGCATCCATATGACTAATAAAAATTAGTAATTATTATTAGTTCCCGATTTGTATAAAAGGAAAGAATACAAATTAACTGAATTCTAATCTGTTTATAGAACTTAAAGATAACAACTATTAAAATTCTTTGTTTTAACACAAATATAAAATATTTAGTGTACAAAAGTAACAATGAATTTCCAACAGAAAAAAGAAAAATATTCGTCTATTTACCTGTGTCTCCAATGATTATATATTTAAATAAGTATGCGTAGGACATTTTGGAATATTAAAAAAATAATTACAATTACGTTTTTAATCACAAAATTTTACACTCTGATTGTGACAGATGTCTGTAGAATCTTATGCGCACTATCTCTGCGCAATAACGCCTCCGCTCTTTAGATTGGTCGATAATTTCAGTTTTCAACAAACTAGAGGTATGTACGTTACTATTTTAGGCCGCTATTTTGTCGCTGCTACACCTCTGTTACAATTTCATAAGGTCTGTACGAAAATATGTGTAAAATATTCTTATCATAATATTATTAGGGGCCTGTTATACAAGCGCTAACGCCGTCGCGTTAGCAGCGCCGCGTTAGCGTCGATGGCCCAACCGGACTAGACTAGGACAATGACACTACTTGGTAGGACGGTGGTATTTAGGACGTAGGACTCTGTATATACTATATTATTTATCTATGCGTAGGACTACCATGGGCGTTGCTAGTGCGGCCGGTTGCGTTAAGTCGACTTTACACTGCATGATTTATCATGTGATTCGTGATTTGGCATATGATTTGGTCATGAAGTCAAATTTCTATGTTCACACTGTGTAATTTGCAGAGATGTAATTTGTCATATGATTTTGTCATAAGCGCTGCCACAGAATAATAAACAATCAGAATGCCCACTCTCCATGGAAAATTAAGTACGCACATCTCGTTCGCACGACGTTCCGCCATGTTTTAAAGGGAACCAACACTGGTTTAATGAAAATTTATGTGGTGTGCATAGAAAAATTAACCCCGTTTAATTGACTTACGGCAAACATAGACATACTACACAATTATTTTAACATTGTTAAATATAATAACATAAATATAATATAATTAAACATAAATATAAACAATTACATAACCTCACAAATCATATCTCGATAAAGGCCCCTTACACCAAATGTGATTCTCAATCCGAGTCTGTGTTCTGTGTTTCCTTCTAAAACATGGCGCGCGTGCTGAAAAACTTCAAAGGCGGCATCTGAGAGTGGGCATTCTGATTGTTTATTATTCTGTGCCACTAGTGGCTATTAGAGCCTGACCCACTATTCTGTGCAGACTTGCGCAGTTCATTTGTATAAACATCTGAATGTGACAATGAGGGTTATGTGTATTGTTGGTTGCATAAGAATAACTCTAAAATTAATAGTAAATAATAGCAAATCAAAATTAAAGGTTTTTTAAAATAGTTTTGCATTTTTTTTTCCAATAAAAATATGTTATTTTATATACAGGATGTTGACTGATGTTATATATCAATTACTGTGATACCAACTTTCTTATTTTAAATGAAACATTGATTAGGTATTTTTTTGGATTATGCACAAAATTCACAGAACTTTGATATATTGCATGTTATAGTGTTAATTAACTTATTGTAGGATAGATGGTGGTTAATGAATAGATCACTCTCTGCATGGTCTCCTTATGACTTTAAAAGGTTCTATACCTAATTTCAATAAAGAAGAGTGAGTTCATTTTCGTATCTCAACTTGTTTGTAATAATGTATATAGTACTCTAAGATATGTACCTATATTTTTTAAAATAGATATTATGTCAAATAAATGAAACCTGCCTAATTTTTACAGGTGTGAAATGGAATGTAGATAAGTAGGTATCTTAAAGGCTATATATTTAAAAGTTAGTATAGAAGGTATTGTGCCTTTAATACATTGTATAATAAAAACAGTTAAATAAAAGCATGGCAATCCAATATATTGATAAAGTTCTTTGTATTTTGTATTGGATCCAATAATTAAATAATATACCTGGTGTTCCATCTAAAATAATAAAGTTGGCATCAGTATTTACATGACATCACACTCTGTATAACACATTTTTTATTTTTAAACATTATGCGCAACAGAATATATAAAAAAAAACAGAGCTTTTCGAGGAACTATTCATCATTTAATAAATAGATATTATAAACCTCATTGACACATTCAGAAATGAATACAAATGAACTGCGCAATTCTGCACAGAATAGTGGGTCAGGCTCTAGACACTAGTACTTAACCCAACCTAAACTAACCTAAACAATCTAACCTAACCTACCCAACCTAACCTAACCTAACCTAACCTGATCAAACCTAACTCAATGCAACGAAAAACAAAATATTTTCTTTTTTACAAAATAAAATTTTCTTGTAAACTCGGGTTCATCGTTGTTGGCGTGTGCCTGAAATAAGCTACTACGGAATTTTTAATATTCGTCTCTCTCTGATACACAGATGCGTAATTCAATTGTACGAGTCACGTTCGTCATGGTAAAGTGCGATGAGAAGGGAATGAAGAGACCACTCACGTCTCCCAGTATTGTAGCAATAACACCGATGCGTTTGGCCGATACGGTGTCGGTGATAAGTTCGGCCTCTTTACGAATACAGATAGCTGCCAGTGACGTGTTTTTTTTTTAACATGTTACCCTGATCTGTGCAGGTTTGAAGTAGCTGATGAAATAGTTTTTTATAAGTAAACAGTTTTTAATTAATTAATAGTTTGAGTCTTACTGTGTGGAATTCCATTACATAAAATAATACTCTCGACACCTTAAAAATTCCAGTTTATTATAAATTAACTCTCTCTCTTCCGATACCCATTGCAATAATGACTTGTGGCATTGTTCTTGAATGAGCTGGTTAATAGGTTTATAATTGTAGCAATTACCATTGATATTTTATGTTGTTTTAGTCGATTTTAGTCAGACATTGTTGAAATTTGTTCCGAACAGTTTTACTTATTATTTTTTGTTGTGAATAACATTAATAATTATTCTATTTATTAAAAAACTGCCGGGAAAAACGATAACAGGAGAAATGCGACAATATGTAGTTCATTTATTGGAGTATTTTAAAAAAGAAAAAGAAAACAACGGACCTTTGTTTTCGTTATCATCGGTACATGAATGAGTAGCTGACGCTTTGAAAATCAGTCTTCGCAGTTCGCACAGTGACAAAAATAAAGAGTAAATACAAGACAGGGGCAGCTCTTACTACACCAGGAGAGTCACGTAATGTACAAAAAAAAAGACTAATGATGTCAGCGATACTATAAAAGGAGAGATTAGAAATGTACTGTATGGCATGAAAGCAAAAGGAGAGCACGTTACAATTCATTAAAATTCTAAATACACAATTAAGAAACAAGCATCTCTTATACATATTTATATTTTTACAAAATTATGCAAGAAACAATATTTTTTTGAAAATATGGCAACATTGGTTGAAAAGTGACATGACATATGACATTAACAACAGCACAATCAAAATGGACGTAAGATGTCAAAACACGTAATTTTTAAACGAGAATTATAGAAAAACTATAAATTAAAAATTAAAATACAGAATCCGTCATTTTTAGAGCATTATAAAGTGAGTAGGAAGCCATACATAAATATTTCAAATTTTAACTTGTATTTACCGTCCCCTGTTACCCTGTATTACAAAAATCTATATTCTTTGTTGTTAATATGGAATTAAAACAAGAAGTTAGTGAGAAAACTTTTAAAATAGAACTAGATAATGACACCTGTGTTGGTCCTTTTGATGCCTTCAAAATTGAAATTAAGGAAGAACCCAAGACAGAAACTCCATTTGATTATTTAGACTTACATAAATTGACTGTAAACACTGAAGTAGACTGTGAAGATAAATTTATACTATTTGAAGAAAAGCAAACAACAAATGAAGAAAGTAAGTAAATATCACTAATTAATACAATAACTTGATAACAAATTGTATGTTGAGGATGAGAAATTTTATTCTGAACTTAAAGGTTAGAGTTTAGATCATTAAAGCTTATAGAGTTTAGACACACCGTCCTATATGCTATACCCCCGTTTCAAAGAGCAAAGCTAAATTGGTTTGTTCAGCTATACGTGACCGGCGTGACATCAGTTTATGGCAGAAAACATTAGAAACTAGAAGTGTTTACAGGTGATTGCAAACTTTTTATAAGTTTTAAGTTCCAATTTAAAAACTTTCCAATACATTATTTTTTTAATTATGGTATTATCTTGCAGTGCATTTAATTGTACACAGCGACACAAAAAGGGGACAGATATATCATTTCATGGGTAAGTAAATCATAAATTAAACTTGAAAGACCTATCAGAAATTTAGCACCTGGTAATTTACTTTTCTCTTCCAAAGTGTTTAAAATAGATACATATATGAGAGTCTTACATAAATTTCATTTTATAATTACGTTGAAAACTGAAGGATAAAGTAAATAAATTGTTTTAGATTTCCTAAAGATTCATCATTGCAGAAAAAATGGATTATAGCTATGTGCCGTGAAAATTTTAAACCATCAAAGAGTTCTAAAATTTGCTCCAAGCATTTCACAGTGGATTCGTTTATTACTAGTGGATGGAGTTCAAAAAAACAACTAAAAAAAGATGCTGTACCCAGCATTTTCGATTTTCCAAACCTTTTAATTAAGCAAGTTAAAACTAGAACATTTTCAGTAAAAAGAGAAACTGTCTTAAACAAAACAACAGGCAGTGAAAATATAAATATAACAACAAGTGAATCTACTACCATAAAGACTCCAGTAGAAATTCCAGAGGAAACTACCTTAGAACCTCCCTTGAAAAAGCGAAGACATTATCTTGGTGACTTTGTTGAACAAGGATCATCTAACAGAGATCAGGAATATAAAGTGGTAGTAAACAAGTTATTTCAAAAGAAAAACAAACAAATCAAAATGTTGCAAAAACAAAATAGAAGGCTTGTTAATAAAGTCAATACCTTAAAATCTTTACTAGAACATCTTAAAGAAAAGTAGATGATTGATGAAGATTCCTGTCTGTAACTTTCGGTAAGCAAAATTATTAATACTTCATATTAGTTTTGATATGTATAAGCAGTTTATTATTTTATATTGTTTGTAGTTAGTCAACCAAGTTTAAATTATTGCTTTTTATTTTATTAGTATACAATGCATGCTTCAGCAAAAACTTTCTTTACACAGCTGCTTAAACTGAAGAGCACTAAAACATGCTCTCACTCTTAATTTCTATTCGCCAAAAGCTTACTTGTATATCAGAAACACTTTTCCCAATATGTTGCCTCATCCATGACCTCTTGTTCGTGGCCTGGTTTTCAAAAAGAAGCAGTGAAGGTATTAAAATAAAAAGTAGTTAAACTTAAAGATAAAGGAAAATCATGTATAGTTGCTTTGATGGTTGATGAAATGTCTATACATCAGAAAATAGAATAGGATGGTGAAAAGTTTTTAGGGTAGGTTTAACTTAGCATTTATTAGCAATTATAAAAAGATATATTTTCTATTTATATAATTGGAAACTATAATTGTAGGTATGTTGACATAGGAAGTAACCCTCAAAGCGATTCTTCTGAAGTCAAAGCAAAAGAAGCCATTGCATTTTTAATTAATAGCTTAAATGACTCATGGAAACTACCAATAAGCTACTTTCTAATCAATGGTTTATCAAGAGTTCAAAAAGTAATCTGGTAAAATTGTGCTTAAAAATAATGCATGAAGCTGCTGCCACAATCGCAAGTTTAATATTTGATGGGGCAACATCAAATATTAGCATGGCTAATCATCTTGGAGTTAATTTATCTATTAATTCTAATAAAGCATATTTTTTTCGTCCGGTCACAAAATAAACCAATATATGTAATATTTGATCCTCCACATATGTTAAAGCTTATCTACAATACTTTGGGTACTTATATTTTTTTTTGATTATCTTTGATATTTTAAATAACATATTCATTGGCAAAACACTTAAAATCCAGCTTGCAACAGTGTAATAAACACGCTATTTTTCAGAAAATTGAAGAATCTATAAAATACCTCACTTCACTTAAGTGTTCCAACAATTGTGAACCACTGTATCTAAGCCAAAGAAAAACTGGTTTTATTGATATGATTATTAGTTTAAAGTCACTTATGGGAATTCGAAAAAATTATGTGGAGGATGTGGATCAAGGTTTGAAGTATCTTTTAGTCTATAAACTGTCTCAGGATCATTTAGAAGTTTTCTTTAGTTGTATTAGGAGTCATGGAGGTTACAACAACAACCCATCAGCAAAACAATATTTAAAGCTGTGTACAAAAGGCTCTTGATGCACACAAATGTTACTGGATGTTCCCAGGCTAATTGTATAGAACAGGCACCTTTGATAATTTTAGCAATGAGTATGACACATACTGTGAAAATGAAAACTATTGATTATCAACTTATTGAAAACTTTATGACTGATGGGAATAAAATAGAAATAACTAGTGACCATGATTACACTTTAAATAATTTAAGTTTTTCAAAAACATTGTCGTCTTATGTTTGTGATGGGTTTTGCAGTTATACACTGTATCATTGAGTTTTTAGTTAAGAAAATTAAGAAAACATTAGATTGTGACATATGTTTGGTGCAATTGAAAGTGATAACTTACAATCACCATTCATAAGACACAAAAATTATAGTATATCTAATAATTGTTTAATTCAAACTTCCAAAGATGTTATTTATATTTGTAAAATGGCCGAAAGTGAAATTAGAATTATTATGCATGATTCAAAAAAATTAAATGATTTAAAATTAATGACAAAATTAATCTTAAATTTCATGAGTAATGTACATAGTTCAGTCTTTAATGAATACAAAGAACATATGTTTGTTTGATAATGATTTTCAAACTAACCATTTATTTGTGAGAAACTAAATAATAATGTAAATAGACTTAGAAGTAAGTTAACAAAAACTATTATATTTTGTGGTCAATAAATAATTTATATACAATACAATTTTTCCCCTAAAATGAAACTTCCACCCACAAGTAAAATGTATGTCCTTTAAATTTATTTTTACAAAATTTCTTTAATTCAAAAATATTCATTAATTCCTTTGCTAAATGATTTATCTTCCATATCTTTTACAAAATGTTGCAGTTTTATTAAAATTCATCTAAAATTAGGTATATTTATTAGGGCTTTTCGAAAAATCCAATCTAATGTTCTTGCCATATTGTGACGTCACTTGCACAGAAGGTGTTTACTTCAACGATTCGGTACAAGGCATATAGGTCTATAAGTTTTAATGGTCTATGGGTTAGAGAATACATATACATTTACTTATAATAATTTTTATATGTTTAATGAATTATAGAGATTGAATATGCTGTTTATGTTATAAACGATATTTTGTTATACCTAGGAATAACTTATTTAATAGGGTATCACAAATAGGATGGTCATAGATTATACCATGATTTTTATAGATAGAAATAAGTGGATTTGGCCTAACTTACCTACATGCAAAAGTTATTTGTATTATGATATTGGATTACAAATAGGATGTCAATGTAATGAAATACCTTTAATACAACTTTATTGTCTCTTAGTAGGTATTTGTTTGTAAATCAATATGTTAGATTTTTATAAATTGCTAGAAAAGTTAAGAAAAAAATAGTGTTGTTTCTTTGGCGATGGCTTGCTAAGTAACCTATAATATACATTTTCATAAAAAAGATTTTAACTGCTTTGGAGTAATATTAAAAAAAACAGTTTTATTTTTTACGTTTCACTTTTTCTGAGTGCACTTTTAGTGAGTGCAAAATACCTTTTTGCAGAATTAGGATTTTATTCACATAAACCTTGACATTAGAATGACAAAACAATTATTTGAATACTGACAACTGTCACAACATTAAGAACACTACATCCACAACTACATTCACCTGGCCCTATTTTTGAACAAAATCTTACAAATATCTAGGTTTTTTGAATACTGACAACTGTCACAACATTAAGAACACTACATTCACCTGGCCCTATTTTTGAACAAAATCTTACAAATATCTAGGTTTGTTTTTAATGGGGTTTTAATGGTTTTTAATCTAGGTCTGATTTATGGCTAGATGGAAAATCTAGGTTCATGATTATCATCAGGTACTTTATTTGGTTCTTGAACAGGTAAATTTTCTGTCTCATCTGGTATTGATTCACAAATGGCATTCTTTATTGTATTATTTGGACTTTCATCTTCATCATTATCATTCTTCAATTCGTTTCAACTTTTCTTTCCATTTAGATACTGTATTAATTCGTAATCGGAATTGGCTTCTAAAAGATCAATCTCTTTAACTAAAGGATCAATCTTTAGGACATGAAGGAATAGAAGTTCAGCTAGTTGATCTTCGTTGATAAGTAAACAAATGTTCTTGTGATGTACAATTGGTTGCTGTACACAGTAAACTTTATATAGAGTGCAGAGCATCTGGTAGAACAATTTCCCATTTAATGATGTCTAAATTTTTGGTTTTCAGTGCTAGATTCAATACTTTCCATATAACGCTATTGTATTTTTCGACTTGAACAATTCCTTCAGGGTTATATGGTGTTGTTCTACTTAAAGATAATCCTTTAGAGTATAAATAATTAATAAATTCTTGTGAAAATTGTTTATTTTTTTATAATGTGACATTACACAATTCATACAACTCTTAATTTTCACTTTTCTATCACCAATCCCCATTTTTTAATTGTCATATTAGTGGCACAGAGTTAGTTGCCATACTTCTTCGAAACATCTTGACTAAATTTTATATGTATTCGGTAGGTTCGAGAAGAGGTTGTTACCTATTTTTTGTACTCATAAGGGTAAGAGTGGTTCACCCAATAAATTTTTTATTTTGTAAACAATTTTTTTTATGGTTTTATGATGTGAC